ACGTGCTGAAATTCCTGAAGGAATCAGCAAGGCTCGTTAAGTAAGCAAAAGCAGCTCAAAGAAATCTGCTGTTCAGTTAGAAAAACGCTGAAATTAATTCAAGGTTGATACTATCGATTCAATTGTTGTTGTCAATGACTAGGAAAGAATTGTCATGGCAGTTATGGAAAAAAGATTGCATCAACAAATGTAGAGAAGTACTGTCATTTGGTTAAATTCGTACACCTGAGGATCCCACAAAGCCTTGGCACACTCCCTTGTGGTATATATTTCAGGTCTCCAGAATTCCACAATATCGAGTTTGAAAAAGAAAAAACTTAATGCCCATAGAAAATGTCGAAATATACAAGCAATTTGAATACGCCAGAATTTAACGCTTTACAAAAGGTTCACAAACCTTTTGCACCAATGCGGCAGTACAGGATTCCTTCACTCCTATCGACGATTACACGGCCAACAATTTCGAACTATGTCGGGAATTGATTTTCATGTCAAACCTACGGTGAATCCACTGGTTCTCTTAGCAGATTGAATGCCAAGGAGAAACAATGATGAATAGCTACGACTCCAGAAACTTGTTTACCATTAGTTAAGGTGCGATATATTATGTCGTGGAAACGAAGCTATATAGAGTTAGCGAAGAAAACAGTGCTAACCATTAAATGCGTTGTAGATTGAAGATCTGTCAAGCAAACTAAGTGCGAACTATGCAATTATTTACGATTTACCTACAGGCTTACTTTGTCTCCAGTTCTAGTTGAATTCTTTAACAAATGTTTTGAAACACTGCCATTCTCCATCAGTGACAATAAAATCTAATTAATATTGTTCAGAAGGAACGCTTATGACATATTCGAGATTTGTGAAAAGGGAATGGAAACCCACTTTCTGCATTACATCAACGCCGCCTACCCGGAAGATACCAGTTTTTAAAATGGAAGCAAAGCGGTTCCATAACTTTTCTACCAGAAAGGAAAACAAATACATTACAGAGATGTTTCACAAATCAAAACATACTAATAAGTTCCATTCCAACCACACATAGAGCTTGTAGATAGGCACGGTTAAAACTTTGCAGATACTTCGAACTGAACTCACACGACAGTGGCGTCAAAATGGAACTGGCATACGCTCTGAGTGCTCTCAGAAAGGCCGTCAATGGAAGGAGCAATTGGTATGCAAAAGGAGCAATTATGTATGTGAAAACCGTCGAGGCAAACTTCAAACAAAAAATCTGGATCCATCCCTGCCTTATGAACGCGGTCTCAAGTACACAGTAAAAACTGGCAAAACCACAAACGATAGGCAGAATGAACTCCTCATTAACCTGGTGAGATGGTGCAGCGCCACTCCACATAATAATGGGCAAGCACAAAAAGGGAAAGGGCGAAGGGAAAATAAAGATTCGCATGTGGTGGACAAGGAATATGCTAAGAACTCGGCAGCTTCGGAACATGCAGTACAAAAACCACACTATTCTGAGACTAAATGAAAGAAATACTATGAGAGAAAAAATTTTTAAACCTGCAGATAAAGAGTGCACTAGAATTTAATCAAACTATTACATGAATAAAAACGTGGACATAGAACTAAAGTTAGCATTGGAATAAAACTGAAACAGCCCCCTCTGTTGAAGTTAATGCTCACATCCATAGTGAAGCTGCTGTCTGATCTATCTGTTTATACTATACCATTTTCGTAGGTTTATATTATACGCCTCTATGATGGCGGCTCAAGCATGATCGAAAACGTTTCATATATGTATGTTATAAATTCGATACGCGGTAACATCCTGTAAAAAATTTTTCAACTTATTGTAACCACAAGCATTAAATGACTGCGTCAGAAACTGGTCGAAAGCTGTCATATTAGAACAGCAAGGACTAGTCAGAAGAAATTCGGCACTAATCATGTATAGCGTAATGCAACCAGTTGTCTAGATGATCACCAACTGTAGTCAGATTTTATATCGTAAGGACAAATGTGTACAGTAAACAATATGACCTCATAATCACTAAATCAGTTGAAAACAAATTTTAAAATCACAATTAATTGTTTTGAAAATTCTGCAAATGCCAGTTCAGGCATGGTCACTTACCTCCAACATTCAGCACGAACACTTGAGTAGCGTTGCCAGCCGCGTTTTTGACCACACATGAGTAATTGCCCTTGTCATGCAGTCGAACCTTGTCAATGCGAGCTACACTGCGGTCGGTGCCATTGCCTCCGATGACAAGTTTCCTCTCACGCCACTCGTGATCACCCTACAATATGCAACAGCAGATGGATGCATTAGCATGAACGAAGAATAATTTTAAAACTCTACTTTGAGCCACAGAACTTCACTGGCAGTATCGCTGACAAAATCACAATTCATCTGCACTGCGTTTCCTTCGGTAATATTCAAAATTTTGACAGCTTTATCATGCAGTGAAGGAGGTTCTAAAATGGTATGTCAATCATTAACATAATCTGACATATCCTCCTGTTAATTCGAAAACAAATGGTACGATGAACTGTTTATGTCATGTTCCCTCTAAGAAAGAAATGCAGATGGCCCCTAAGCCATGGTAGATGTGAATTTTCTCAACCCTAAAGTGTTTCTGAAATTATGCTTAGTATTCTCTGCAACTTCTCAAAATTAACCGACCAACTAACAACCAACCGATCGATCAATGGTTTCAAAGATATCGGCTGAGATGAATATAACTCGTCTTACCTATCCGTCACAAACAATATCGCACTTCTTGTCGCTTCTCGCTTATCTTAACACGGTGGAAAATTTTTAATGTCTCTCCAGCTTGCGATTAGATTAGAAAATAAATAAATAAATAAGAAATTAATTTGCCGAGACGGCGAGTTATGCTGCAACGCCAGTAATTATCAGCATCTCACTTGCAGACAATCCCGGTCTCATAAAACTCAAAAACGAGTGACATCCGGCGGTTTTTCTCTGCAGTCATTTATTCGATTGTTCTTTGCGTGATCAACACACAGTTTGCAGAAGACTTCAATGTCTTGCTTTGGTACAAAGTAAGGAACATGAGCCTATGCATATAGAAAATGGAAGATCATCTTTCGTTTTAGATTGACCATCAGCTTCGCAGTGTGCGCAGGTTGCGTGACTTTGCGTTTGACTCTCATAGTTGCAAGCTATTTTTGAAAGATTTTGTGGCTCTTGATGCGTTATCCATCTCGTCTATCTAAAACGTTTCCGAATTTTGTTTTGTGTTCAATATAAATTACTTTATTGTTTAAACAAAACATAGAAACAACCAAGGTTCAAAGAGTATCTGACTCGTTGACAGTGTCATCATCGGTCGATCGAACGGCGAGAGAGAAAGATAACCAGGGGGTCGCCCTGAGCGCCGAATTTTTCCGTCCCAGCCGACATGAGAGAATAGCCATACGCCGAAGTTGGGTCTATAGAATTTAACCCAAGTCCAACTTTCTCGATAGCAGTCAATGTGACAGAACGAGCTCGATGAGCAGGACCGTTGTGACACAGTCATGGAAGCCATTACATGATTTTGACTACCGAAAAAATAGCAGAGTCGTTGTTGTTCACAAATCTTGTTTATTAAATAAAAGATTTATCCAAAATTTATTATTTTATGAAATCGTTATTTATAACAACAGGCGCTCAGCATATGAAACCTGATTTTGCTTTCAACATCATGATGAAAAGACGTAGCATCCTTTGCTAACGGTTTCAGTTCAGTAAGAGAAGATTAAGTTGTAAGAGTATACTTACTAATTACACTTATTCGATAGGTCTTCGTGTCTTCACCAGCCGCGTTGGATGCCACGCACTTTACAAGCGCTTGATCATCCGAAAGACTTGCTGTGATGATCAGTTCTGCCGACTGCGTACTCTGAAACACGTTCTCAATACCAACGACATAATTTTGCATGTAATGTACTTCATAATTCAAAAGTGTATCGCTCGGGACTCCGTTTCTGAACCATTTCACCTGAGGTTCCGGATGGCCTGTAGCACGACATTCCAGCACAAGCTTATGATTGAGTGCCACCTCCACATCGTCTCGAGCCTGAGTTATGATTTTCGGTGGAACTTAAAAAATTATCATGAAAATTTATTCCCTGTTGCAAAGTGAATGTGTTACCAAGAACTTCCAAGTTGTATGTTTGTTGTGCCCTGCCGGCCAGATTAGTCGCCACGCACATGTAAACGCCGGAATCTTGTCTTCGGACATTATTAATTCGAAGCAACTAAACAGTTGAAAATTTACTTAAAAACATTTGTATCCTTTCTAAGGGTAATTACGTGCAATAACTCCCTTCTGTTAGGTTTGAAGGAGTATTTTCCTTTAGATAAATCTTTGCTGGGAAGGGGTACTGACGCAACTGGTTAATAGTTTGCTTTATAAATCGCAGGTTGAGTACAAACCTCACGAGCGGGGTAAATCTCATATTGGCTTCTAATCCCATTAAACAAGAAATTCACTCCATTGCGCTTCAGTAAAATCATCTGAGAAAAAAATGGACTGGTGAATGATAGGGATAGCATTGTGTTCCAGTGTGGGTATGCCAGAGCGTGCGAGACATTCAGCAATGCTGTGTTGCGCATGCGCCTTACGGTAGCTTAGTCGCTTTGACAACTTATAGCTGACTAAAATTAGGCACAAGATATAAGCAGTAAAATAAAAAACCAAATGTATGAAAAAATAGTAAATTAAAAACTAAATTGAAATAAAAAATTACTAAAAGTAATAGTGAGGTAAAAAAATTAAAAGCATGAAGATACATCCTGACTCCCGGGCACCATTACCTAACCGAGCAACCGCTATCTGTTCAGGTTCTGAGTTTCACAGCGGTCGAGGAAAGCACCTTCCTGCATGCATGCAGCCCAGCGTACTTCCCACTGGCATGAGGTTCCCTACATTACTTTACCTTGCCAGAAAGCCACATCCGGTCATCTCCTTGCACACTAACACCGTTGACGATCCACTCGATTTGCGGCGTAGGGCTTCCACTCGCATCGCACATAAGCTCGCCGGTCTGCCCTTCGATCACTTGAACAATTTCACCTGGGGCAATAACCGGGGCCTCTGCCAAATTTAAACGCAATAATCCTAGATCCGTATGAGACGTAAAGAATACGTACCGTTGATTTCAACTCGATATTCTAAAGTATCGTTCCCGGCTATATTTTTTGCATCACAGCGGTATGTTCCAGCATCAGAAGCGTCAACATTAGAAATCTAAACTGATTTATTGCAACTTCCAGGATCATCCGATTGATAATTGAGGTAAAGTGAGGCAACTAAACGAATTATTCCTGATTGTGACTTCCCCTAGTTAATATCAAACAAAGATAATGAAGGAATTATTTTCAAGAATACGAAAAAGCTAAATGTGCCCATCAGAACTCTACAATACCCGTCTTTTAATAATTATGTCGCGCTCCTCGATGAAATGGGCAACATCGGACGAATGTTATGTGTTTAGTGAAATCCATTCTATATTCCTAAATCGGTGCAAGGTCAAAGTTCCAGTTACCTGACAATAAAAGAATTTAAAATTGTCGAATGCTTTTGAACTGTGCCATTCGACATGCAAACTGCAGAGAGTGGCGAACATGATGAGATCATTACGTTGCAACACCTGGCTTTGAACTTTGAAACGGAACTTCATCGATGAAATGCCCTTGAATTCTGAGAGCGAGCTTCTGAAATGACCATAAGCGACTTCTTTTTAACGCTGACCGCGTGATAAGCAGTAGCGAGCTCTGAAATCTGACACAGCTGCGAAATTTTGCCTCTTGCTTAACGCCCGGAAGTCTGAGGTCATAAGCAACCAATGAGGCACAGCTGATTCACAACTGGAGAATGATCTGTTTAAGTATCTCGGCTCGATCATCTAAAGAGATGGCACCATTCAGCGTTAAAGAGAAACATCACCCTAACCTTTTGGAAAAGAGTACAAATTTGAACTGAGAAAGCAGTAACATTCTCTACAAAATACCGCCTATTCCCTCATTGCTTCTGTCAGGTCAGTGATGCTGAACGGTATGGAGAAAACCGTCCTAACGAAGGAGTATGAGCGAAGTTTGAACGGCGCACAGCAACGTTGGCTTCGACACATAATGAGGGTTAAATGACAGAACCACGTAAGGAATGATTCTATTCTCTTCCGAGTACAAGTAACTTGGTAGATACCAAAATTAAGAAAATGGGGTCGGGTCTATTAGACAATCTGGTTGCGCATAAACCATTCATTCCGACCAATGAACTTCTCGTTTGGGAGCCAAAACACGGCAAGGTCCATGAGAAGGTGATCATGAAATACGGAGGAATGTCGAACCTTCTCAGTAGCCTCATTCTTCAAAAAATTGAGTTAATCACTGAAAGATAAAACGATTCTAGCGTACCTTATCATGATATCTTAACAATAAACTATGGCCATTGCTATAAAACTAAAGTTTATCGCAAACCTACTAATACTGATAAACACCTAAACTTTACATTATACGATCATCTAAATGGCAAAAGATCTGCCATTACAGCTTTAATAAACAATGCTCTCAAACTCTCTGCCAGTGAATTCTGAAAGAAGAAGTGAAACGTTATTGAACATGGCATTAAAGCAATCTGATGTGATACATGTTATGTTAACCTTATGTGATGTCTTGTTAATTTCGTTAATAATATCATAAACTATAGAATAAGTTACTTTAGATGTACTTGTAACACCACCGATGTCAAAAATAGCATTTTAAATAATGAACCTTTCCTCATTCTATCTTATCGTAAAACGTTAAGTGAAAAGTTACAAATTTACTTAACACTAAGTATTAGAGTAACGTTCTATATAAAAGTTCTAATAAACTTAATGCGCTATTAACTAATTCTGAGAATAACAACTCTCTAACTGCGGAAAGCATTACATTGAAGAAACGGGGAACACATCCTTCAGAAAAACAGACTCACCTGCCAAGTGGAAGAACGTGAATTGCTGCTTGCGAATGCGAGAAACATGCAGTAATAAAGAACCTGAGAAGAAAACAAAATCTCGCCCCTAACAAGATCAAAGAACAATTTGAAAAGACCTTCGGTGTTGTGAAACACGCAGCAGAGAAAGATGACATTCCTCAATGATCAGACTGCACCGGCGTCATTAAACAAAGAAACCGGCGAAACAGACGCGTCAAAGATGCATTAATAATCCAGTTATGCGACAGCGTAAACCGGGACAAAGGACACGAACCTTGTCGCGCCTGTTGCCTCAAAATTACCTGACCAGCAGCATGGACCAAGATCTTGCCTTTTGGCTAAAACGTTAAAACAGCTGCTTTCCACGGAACGAAAATCAGAAATCGTCCTTGTCCACCTTGAAGAAGACCCTGAGACACGAGCTGCAATGTTTGTACTGCTTATTTATCCGACTGATCAAATTATTTGATTTGTATTCATGAACTGTGTTTTTTAAGTTTTCAGTATGATCACAAATTCCCGAAAGAAACACTCAATCCAACTAACGCAAAAGGAATGAAAAAAATTCTGTTCTGGAACTAAAACCCTGCTTATAGTGATTTCGAATAGCAATATATTAGCAGAAAATCATGCAACATACCTGGAGATAGAATCCATTCGAGAGTATTTCCACACGCCTGCCGGCAATAGCTGAGCCGTTTCTCGACCAGACTATGGTTGGCGGCGGTTTTCCACGTGCATCACATTGAAGCGTCAGAGTACGGGAGCGAGGTATTTTTGGATTTAACTCCAAACCCTCTTTATGAATTATAGGAGGAACTGACAAGGAAATTGTTCATGAAAGTTTATAATTATTTAGCGATTATAAGCACTGTACTTAAAACGTCGAGGTCCACAAAATCTTGTGCGACACCTGCTTCGTTTCTTGCGACGCACTGATATCTGCCGATT